TCCCCCTCCTCGTCTCCGCCTCCCCCTCCTCCTTCCCCTTCACCCTCCCCTCTGCCTTCCTCTCCTTCTCCCCCTCCCTCTCCTTCTCCTTCCTCTTTGTCATCCCCTCCTCCTCCTCCTCCTTCTTCTTCTTCTTCTTCTTCTTCTCCTTCTTCTTCTTCTTCTCCTTCTACTTCCCCTTCTTCTTCTTCTTCTTCTCCTTCTTCTTTTTCAACCTCTTCTTCTTCGTCGTCGTCATTTGTCCCCTCTAGTTTGTCTTCTTCTTCCCCACGCCGGCTATGAACGGCCCCTCCTGTCTTCGTTGTCCATGTTGGGACGTCGGAGGCTCGTTCATTCTCTCCTCCTCCTAGTCCCCCTTCCTCTCGACGTCGTGTTGATGCTAATTTGTGGGGTTCTTTGACATACCGACAACCTGCTCTGCCACGTTGGCGGCGTTTGTCATTTACGCGCCGACCCCGCCAGATCACAGCTGGCGTTCCAGTGGTGACCAATTCCGATCTGCGGGCAGACCTACCAAATTCTTGTGGTTTGACAGCCACAAATGTCTGCCTACAGGCTTATCAGCGTCCATGTTATACTGCGTCACAGTTTGTCACGATTGCTTATCAGCTTGACGCTGTTGAAAATCAGTTGTTGTATGACCATAATAGCCCACCTCCTGAAGGTAGTAACTATACTACCTCAGGAGGCTTTTCTGTTAATGTCTTACAGTTAGCTTTCCATGGTCGCCACCTTCTTATGCATCATGCGACCCCAGGCAATGACCTCAATGACCATCCTCATATATTTCTGCCTGTATTTTACACAGACCCTGGCATTATATGGCACTCATTTGTGCAGCTACCTAGTGGGAACTGTGGGATGGTGGGACGATGATTCAGGCTATTTCCAACGTAAACGAGTTTTTGGGTGCATTGCTGAATCATACTTTATTCTGGATTATTGACCGACTCTCGTGTGACACCTGTCGGGGCAGAGACGCGGTGCGTCTTGGTTGTGGCATTCATCATCTATGCCATCACCATTATCAATCTATTGCGACTACCGTTGTCTGTGCTGAAGGGTGTCCAACATTTCCTCATTGTACACATCCCTATCACCCAGGTATACGTTGTCCCTTTTGTGCCCAAGGATGCTATCAGAACTTCATGATGCCGCACTGTGATGAACGTCCTGCTGTTCTTTTGACATGTGGACAACATGTCCTCTGTCAGGACTGTTTTGATGGGATGGTTCGTGCTAGCCGTCCTGCTGAAATCTGTGCTGGCGCAACTCTCCTTGGGTATCTTGTGAACATCCACATCATCCTCACCGTAGCTGTCCTATCTGCCGAGGTGGGAACAGTTAAAGAAAAAACGAAAAAAAGAAAAAAAGAGAAAATAAGAAAATAAGAAAAAAGAAAAAATATGTTGATCTGTGGGATCTGTTATTTGCTTTGTAACAATTGAATTATATGTGGGATGTGTCATTTGCTTTGTTTCTCTGTCAGGAGGTTTCCTCCTCCTTTTCTTTACCTCTTTGCTTTTTGGTTGCGTACAAGTGG